GGGGAAAGGGAGGTCTGGGCCTCCCTTCTGAAGCTGCTGCCCCCGCGACCCGACCCCGGATAGGCGGAAGAAAATGGATGGATGGATGGATGGATAAAATAACCCATGAACATTCTTCAACAGACAACATGAGTCACTTGTTGCCATGTTGCTCTCTTAAGACTTATCATTGACATTCCACAGTTGTATTTAGGTTCATATATTGTCAATATTTTATAATATGTAATTAACATGTAATATATATGTCAATTAGGAAATTAATTCCCTTATTTGCTTTAGGGCAACTGTGCCCACCACTGTTAGTATTAATCAAATGAAGTTTAAAATAAAGTAATTTTATGGTGATATATATGAAGCGCCAAGTGTAAATGTCACTAACACATTTTTATTTTATAATTTATTTTTATTTAGCTCCGTGTTCTCAGTTTTATGGTTACAAAATATACATTTAATTGTTAAATACGATATATGTAAGTACAAAATCTAAATGTTTAAATCTAAATGCAGGAGTTAAATCTTAAATGTTGTGGATAAATGTTGAAGCTTACATTTCAGTATTTTGGATTGTGCTTTTCTTGTTAAGACGTCATCATCCTGAGACAAAAGCAACCGCTAATGCTGCTAATGCTGCTAACGCTGCTAATGTTGCTAATGCTGCTAACGCTGCTAATGCTGCTAACGCCGCTAATGCTGCTAACGCTGCTAATGCTGCTAACGCTGCTAATGCTGCTAATGCTGCTAATGCTGCTAACGCTGCTTGTCTGTTCTGGAAGCATGATCTGTACCGTTTGTTTTTAGCATGTAGCATTTTGCTAGACTACTGACAGAACTGATACGATTTCAGCGCTTCGTCACCTGCAGTGATTCATACAAAAAGTAATGTTTGCAACAGATGTGAGATTTTATTCCAGAAAAACACAAAAACAAAGATGAGATGAATTATAACATAATTGTTTATAAAGTAGGACAGTTTTAGATTGAAAATCAATATTTTATTAATAAAGATAAAGATAAAAGATAATGATAAAACTTTATTGATAGCACAATGGGGAAATTCGCACATTACAGCAGCTCAAAACAGGACAGGGTGAGATAGAATAAAGAAAGATAAGTAAAAGAAAAAAATACACTATACTCGTGATATATAACAATGTATATATACCTAGTACAGTACATAGATGAATATATACGCATCAAATCAGAATGAATATAATTTTAAAACAATTTTCAGAGTATAATTTAGCGCACCTTGTGGAAATAATTCAGTATTTTTTCCTAAATCAAGCACATTAACTGGTAACAGAAGTCTTTCATTTAGTGCACTGTGCAAATGAGCTGACGGTACGAATCATGCTTTTGGAACTGATCGATCGGGCAGTGACACTCACTGCTAACATTAGCTAGCATTGCTAATGATGCTAACGCTTCCCTGCAAGACAACAAACTTGAGGTTGCAGCCAATGTCTGAGCTGCACGTCAAACTGCCGGACCACAGGTACCACCCATATTGTTTTCAAAAGCACATTTTGAATTTAGGCTTTAAATAGGCTTATTAAAGTGTTAGCAGTAGTTAGCATTGATGTCTTGTCACCGGATGATGACATCATCCTGGTTTGATAACACTATATTATTATTATATCGACACTACTGGTCAAACGTTTTAGAGCACCCTACTTTCTCCAGTTTTTTTTTTTTTTTTTTTTTTTTTTTTTTACTTTCAAATGCAATCAGCTCAAGTCCAAGGAACAGCTTGAAAGGCTACAAATGTAAGTGATGAATTGCCAGAGGCTTTTTTAAAAATGTAAGGTTACCCAAAACTGAAAATCAAAGTGTATGTGAGTCCAGTTTCCCTCACCATTGCAGTGCACTCAAAAACTGGTGTAAAAATGTTGGGTCTGCCTCATCTCTTCCCATCAGTTTCCACCAGTTTCTTGAGTGCATTGTAATGGTGACTGGAGATGAATCTCAAATCTAAAAAAATTGGAAAAATTAGAGTGTTATAAAATGTTTCACCTGTAGTGTGTACGCATATATTTTCTTTTCAGATGACATTAACAAAATGTTCTTGAAGATTTACCTGTGGTGGGAGCGGGGGTGCAAGATTGATTTGTCTTAAGAAGCAAATATTTCTCATTTCAACAAGGGAGGGGCTGAAACACAAGACTAAAGAGTGGTAAGGGTCCACCAAACCGGTTCCAGGACTGGTTTGGAGCAGAGCTTAATAGCATAAAAATAAAATAAAAATAAAAAACACACCCTACTGGGAAAGAAGTCCTGACTTCTCCAAACTCCTCAGACTGGAAAGATTTATGAGACAAAAGTCCACATACTGAAATCCACATTTCTGTGAGCTTCAAGCAGACATCCATACTCCTGGACATCCCTCAGGTCTGAGCTGTTCCAGCAGTGACAAATGTTAAAAGTATTTCCTGTTTTCTTGATCAACATATTCTACAAATGCTAGTTCAAAAAAAAGGAATCTAAGCAAGAAAGGAGTCACATTGAAAAAGCAGTAAAATCCTTAGATGACAATTACAGATTTAAAGGAAGCCGTTAACTGGAACAATGAGCAAACCTCGTGGATGGGATTTATTGGGTCCTGATAAAACAGATTTTTCTCTGGGCCATAAAGATCCTTTATCAWGACCTGTCCTTTGTTCAGGTTATTCATTAACAAGTTCAGGTTAATGACTGGAAATGATTAGGTTTTTCTCGAGTTGTGGKAAGACAAAGAATTCTTTCTCAAACATTGTTTTTTTCACCTGAGGTTAATGATTAATCTTGCCTGATTAAAGGTAGTTTTCTCTAACAAAWTTAAAATAATTAGTGATCTGCATCAGTGTCCTGTCTCTGAGGATATAAATGAAATTTGGTTGAATCTCCTTTGATTGTGACATCTTTTTGTTGAAGGATTCTTAAAAGCTTGAGCCCTAAATCAGCTTTTGTTGTCTTTTGTGGATCGCTGGGTTCTGTTTACAACATTAAAACAAAAGAAAAACCTGATGAACGATTCTTCTGCGCAATGAAACAAAAAGTGACCRTTACCTTGTAGGCCTGTTTCTCTGCTTTTAGCTGTGTTTTTAATTTAAGGATTCTTGACGAAATGAGTTTGTTTCTAATCGTGGCTTTAACTTTTGCTTCTTTTCACTTTCAAAGCGGCAAAGGGCAGACATTTTGGAAAACAAGATGTGAAATAAAAACACAACTCCTACAACTTTCTGTTCTGTTCTGTCCTTCATTCCTTCCTTTCTTCCTTCCTCATTGTTCTGAGTTCCTGCCTTTAGAAACGGCATGTGCAGCCTCACATACCTCGATACAAATGAAACTCATGCTGTCAGATAAGTTTTCAATGTTTAACCTTTTCCTTCGTTTTTTTGTTTTTTTATTATTTATTTTATTTTTTGTCATCACAAGGGTTTACTATCTTCTCTGGTCTGCTATTGGCAGTCTTCTGTCCTTATCTAGTGTCTACTTAAGTTTGCTTGAGTCAGTACAAAAAAATGTTGCCTAAAAAACTACAACGATTAAAAACTACAGCCTGCTCACTTAAATTAATTATTTTAAATTGGTTTTGAGGGATGAATCAGCAAGCAAAAAGTGCTGAAACCTTTGTTTGGGGGGAAAAAAAAGAAAAATAACTCAGCCACCTCAAGATTTCAAAAACTCCTGAAAAGTCATCCAGATTCCATGTTTGGATTTTCTGATTAATGGATGATTCTTCTTCTTCTTCTTCTTCTTCTTCTTCTTCTTCTTCTTCTTCTTCTTCTTCTTTTTAATGTAAAAAGTACAGAAACTAGAAATAGTGGTGGTGTCGTATTTTTGACATAAAGAGCATTTCATTATTTTGATTTAAAAATATAGCAATGGCTTCTGTATTTTAATGCTTCCCAATAATGCAGGAAGAAAAATAAATAAAGTTACTTCACTTTTTTTAGACCCTCTGCTGTGACTTGTGTTTTGTGGGATCTAACCTGGATCTGTGTGCTCTGTTGTCTGATCTGCAATTTACTGTACTTCTTATGAAACGAAACTCCACCCTTTTAAAACTTTAGATTTGACTGATTAGGCAGCTCAAAAGAGAGARAAAGGCACCACTGTAAACCAGAACTTTATTTTGAAATTAAGAGAAAAAAAAACAGAGCTAGGAAAAGTCCGTTCATTTAAAGGTTTAATAAAGAGTAGTGTTTGAAAAACGATCCTCTCTGCTTTTGTGACATGAAGTTTAAAGCTCAAGTGTCATCAGTATTTTTAGCTGGAACTGACTGACACGGTGCACCTGTTTTACTTCAGTGAAAACACAGGATGTGGGTATTTTAAAGCGGAAAAGTCTGCAGCTTTTAAAGCCTGACGCGTGTGTCCCCCACCATCAAGTGTCGCGAATAGATCAACAAACGGAACCATCTGCGTGAATTTTCATTAAACTTCTTCTGAGTCATCTCCTGACGTGCCTTCGGCGCAAACCGACTCAAGTTTGTCATCACCCTATAGTTAACATTTCGTTTAACTTTTTGTAAAAAAAAATAAAAATAAAAATAAAAATATGAGAGAAAGTTGTCCTACCTGTGTAAAACCCCGCTGTGCGCGCGCCGTGGTGTGGGAGTGGGACAGTGGTGGATTCAGCCTCGCGCGTCCGGAGGCAGCGCGCTACAGGGCGGCGTCACCCTGTGCGTCAGGAGCATCGACTGACCTCCTCCTCATCTCATCATTGCTACATACCAGGATAAACACACAGATCTGTGCAAAAAATAAATAAATAAACATGCAGTAAATGAACAGAAACTGTGTCCACCACTGAACAATGACAAAACTCAAACATCAATAAAAGCTGCGAAGTCGATACTTTTCACCAGAGGTGTCACTAGGTTTTAAAGGAATCCCCAATTAGTTGTAACATTAGACTTTATATGATAAACATATACTTTAACTGTAAAATAAAGAATGTAAAAAATACTGTAGGATGTTCAGTTTTTATTATATTACAAGGACGGGGCCATTTTATTTACACGCAAAGCATTCTGGGTAAATGATGACATCAACTAGGTCATCCGGATGAGGCTGCTAGCGAGCTATATCCACCCTGAAGGTTAATCTTGGACAACATCTGATGATCGACTTTTAAATGAAACCAGAGAGCGTTAACAGAGAGGAGAAGGTAGAAATGACTCAGCCTGTAACTGAAAATATGGATGGAGGACAACAGAGCTGCTTCATGGAAGAAGAAYCTCAGCTTAGCCTGTTAGCTTTAGCGCCGACGCTATCACCATATATATGTATTAGCTCAGCGCTACACATTCTCCTCTCATCACTGAGGTCCTCCATCCACATGACAGAGAGGGGAACACAAAAATGACTCAGCTGCAACTGAAAATATGGATGGAGGACCTCAGTTTAGCTTGTTTGTCATGTTAGCGCCGAGCTAACACATATAAGGCAAAATATCATGAGGGCTAGCGCGAAGGCTAACAGGCTAAGCTGAGGTTCTTCTTCCATGAAGCAGCTCTGTTGTCCTCCATCCATATTTTCAGTTACAGGCTGAGTCATTTCTACCTTCTCCTCTCTGTCAACGCTCTCTGGTTTCATTTAAAAGAGTCRATCATCAGATATTGTCCAAGATTAACCTTCAGGGTGGATATAGCTCGCTAGCAGCCTAGCACCAATGACCTATTTGATGTCATCATTTACCCAGAATGCTTTGCGTGTAAATAAAATGGCTTTGTCCAAAATGCATTTTAAAAAAGTTACATACTAAATAGCCTACAGTATTTTTACAGTCTTTATTTTACAGTTAAAATAAATGTTTATCAAACAAAGTTTAATGTCACAACTAATCATGGATCCCTTTAAGGACAATGGGTCTTAGGCCCCAGTAGTTATGCACAGAATTGTTCAAGGCCAAATAATATTTTTTAACATCAGCCCCCCTAAAATAGGCCTAGTGACGCCACTGCTTTTCACACAACTTAATTTGTGAACAGAAGTACTTCACACATGAAAAATAACATCAGAAGCCAAATAAATAAATTATGCATACAAAACAATGTAGTAATTGATATATAAAAGCCTACCACCTTCCATGCCAAAGTTTAAAACTAATTTCTCATGCAATGCTTTACAGCTCAGAGTAGTGTTGAGGAGGAATCTCAGCTACTACCACATCAAATTTGAGCTTATTTCTAAATTAGCCTGAGGTGTTTGAATGGGTTGACTTCAAAAGTTGATCAGTTGTAGCTGTATATCCAATGCTTGCTTTCTGAGAATTTCGCTAAAAATGGTCAGGTGGTTCATGAGACATTTTGCTAACAGACGAACAGGTAGGATAACAATTTATCCCAAGTTTTAAACAAATACCTTAAAATACCGGTTAGCTCTTGTGCGTATGATGAAAAGGACTCTCTGTTACTATCATACCAATTTCTTTTACTCGTTATTTGTAAAATTGATTGATTTGTAGCTGTTTTTGTGTTTGTTGAGTTCAGTGAGCCGTAGCGCACATCTTAAATTTGGTTGCCTCCAAAAATTAATCAGCTGTAGAGGCACTTCAAGTGACTATTTTCTCAGAGTTTCATAAAAATCCATTTGCTGATTGGTGAGATATTTTGCCAACAGACAGACACACACTTCTTTTGGGTGGTTAAAATCATTTTATTACTGCAATAAAAAAAGAACATGTTTAAGCAAAATTCAACTGGATGATAAAAAAAATGTAAATAAACACTAAAAGAGTTCATTTTTCTTTGAGATGATCTAGTAAATTTTGTAAAACATGAATACGTTAAACAAGCAGAGGACAGCTTAACAACAAAAAAAAAAAAACAGGGGCATGATTATTTTTGCATCCTCAAAATATTCGTAACAAACAGTGTGAACGTTCTAATTATCCCTGCCTGAAGTGAAGCAGGTATCTTCCCAGAAGTAATTGTTCATTATTCTCTCAGGGTTTCATTATTTCTCTGGTAATTGCCTACAGGCCTGTTGTCATGAAACTACCCAGAGTGTTTACTCGTTGGCACAAACACAATTATAGGATCCTTCTGAAAGCAGGACATCCTGTTGAGGCAGAAAGTTCAGAGGTAACATAAACAMAAATTTATCAGTTCTTAAAACGTCCTTTGATGATGTCAGTGCTTCTCCTCCTCTGTGAACTTCAGCGACCCTTTTCCAAAAAAACACATGTCATTTTGGACCTCAGCTGCTTCATGGTCGATTCACACGACAAACTAATCCGTTAAGACTCGTGAATTCAAATGTTTGTGCAAGTGTGGCGAGGAGGATGTGAAACCAGACGTCACTCCGAATACAAAACCACAGGGGTTACCCTTTACAAGCAAGAAGGGCTGCAGAGGGGAAGAAATGTGCAGACAGAGAAAAGAGAGAGAACACGAACACTCATGTCACATCCCTCATTCAATTAATTCTTCTGCAAGTTTCTACTTTAATTCAATTCAGTTCAGTTTTTTTATATAACGCCAAGTCACAACAAACATCGTCTCAGGGCACTGCACACAAAAACAATCAATCTATGGAAGACAGTAGATTGAGTTGAGTCACTTCATCACAGTCTCCCATTCTGAGCAGCATACTGGCGACAGTGGAAAGGAAAAACTCCCTTTTAACAGGAAGAAACCTCCAGCAGAACCAGCAGGCKAAGGACAGGCGGTCATCTGCCTTGGCCGGCTGGGTTTGACAGGACAGGAAAGGGTCCCAAAGAAACCAGAAGGACTGGTCCAGGTGCATTTTCCTCTGAAAGAGAGACTTAAAAACATGTTAGTGATAGAAATAATTRCAACAAACATGTAGAGAGTGACTAAAGACAGCAACACAGTGAGGAAATGTGGTCAGTTTGTGCTCCAGCAGTCCTATWTAGCAGAACTAAACAATAACTTAGGAAACCAACCTTAACTATAGGATGTATCAAAAAGGAAAGTCTTCAGTCTTAAAAGTAGAGCGTTGTGAATTTGACAGGGAGCCAACRGAGAGAAGCTAAACCTGGAGAAATATTCAACTCTCAGCATTTTGGATCAGCTGAAGGAGATTTTTCTGAAGTCTGGTCCACATCAGCTGCTTCTTCAAACTGTGTAAAAACCCCCCAAGAACCTATAAATCTGCTGCAGTTGACTAAAGTGCTGTCATTTCAACTCCTGGTCTCATAAAAAACCATAAATGTCAGTGAGCAAACAATGGCCATTAAACAAAGCAGCCAGTTCAAACACCTCGTTTCCCACCGACGACGTGTTGTTATAAAAGACGGCACAGACTACGGAAATTACAAAACGTCGTCATTTCACCATTGTGCTGCAACACTGGGGAAGTTTCGCAAGTTTTGTCTCAACCTTGTTCCAGGAAACAGAAAGAGAAGAAAATATTTGGCAAAATTTGAAGAGCAGGCTGAAATGTTTGTAGACTAATTGACAACATATTTGAGTAAGGATCGTCAAACTAAAAAAAAATACTGCTAGGAGGTTGATGATTCAGAGGTATTGAGATGCATATCTTCTTTTCGTGGTCACGTTTTGAACCAAATCTTACCTCCAGACCTATAAAATGTATTTCAGTATAACCATTTTTGTATTGTGTGACACTGACCATCTTGAAAAGTGTGACTTCAAAATTGAATCAGCTGCAGTTTTGCATCTAATGCAAGGGGGTAACTAAAATGTTGAATAAAGTAGAGGCTATTTCTTGATCTCTAGTGTAGTTTAACAGGATGTTAAAGATACTTTAACCTACATAAATAAACACCTGATTTAATAACTAGAGACAGATCCATTAAACTAGTTGCATCGTCCTGTTTTTAAACTCAGTAATGGCTCAGATAATTAAATTGTGACAAATTATCCCAAACAAGCTTAGAGGAGGTTTTTACATTTATTTAAAAGATTGATATGTGTATGTTTGTAATGGATTAAAAAGCTAATGATGGATGGATTGACAGATTTATTTAGTGACCTTTACTTAACTAGGAAAATCCCAATTGTTAAAACTAATTTCTACCACTTCCTAGAAGTATAAGCCTATCACTTTTATATTTCTGACGTTGTTTACAAAGCAGATCAGATAGCTATGGATAGCTAGCCCACTGCGCATGAGTGTGTGTGCACGTGCTTCAGAGAAGAGGAAGGGAGAGGTCAAGGGGGGAGGGGTCACAGGCTAGCAGCAGCTTCTTTTTTTCTGAAAAGCTTTGAACACAGTGCACAGCTGCTGGTGTGGTAGTTACTGTCGGAAAATGTAGATACACGCAAAGGGGAAAAAAGTGTGCGAATATTGGTGGGGACTGTCCCTGTCCGGCCAAAGTTGGTGGGGACATGTCCACACCAGTCCTTCGCAAAGTTACGCATATGATCTGATTACTTCCTGAGTCTGGTTCAAACAGGTGCAGTAGTTCATGAGCCGTTTTGCTTACAAAGTTGATACTAAATGGTTAAAATAAAAAAGTTAAAACATTTTTTTGCATGGTAAGGTGCTATAAGGATGTGTTGTGGATGAMTTTGTTACTTCCAGAGTTTCAGCTCAGCGTCTGTTAAATTAGATGATGTTTTTGTTGAGTTTGCTCAGGTCACTAATGTCCCTTTTAGTGTAGTGTTGGTACAGTTCCAAGCCATTTCCATTAGGCCAGATTCATGGAACCAGACCATTTTTTAGTACCTACTTTGTTGTGGTTCCAAGCGGTCCCAGTCGACACCAAAATACAACATCAGAACACTGTTCGTCACTGATTGACTAGTGGGTGGAGTCACTGGTTGCATCTTAGGCGCCATTTTTTCTCAATTGTAGCAGCGACATTAGTCATGTTTCCATCCAATTTTAATTTGAATTTTTAGCGAATTTTTTTTAATTTCAGAACTTATTCGAAAAATGTGTTTCCATCTGTCATTAACTTTTTTTTTTTTTTTTCCGAAAAACCCAAAAACCATCCCCAACCAAACGGCCAAAACACACCCACTGGAACCGGACTGGAACGTCAATGGAAAGTACTTSAACTGACCCATTTCGGCACTGTTGGTGAGGCGGCCATCTGTAGATCAGGGCTATTCAACTAATCTGCTCCGATGGCCACAGTTATTGCAGGTCAGCAGCTGAGGGGCCGAACATCCACCAATTAAAGTCATTATGTAATTAAACCAAATATTACAAAGATCTTAAGTACAAAACTTAAGTAGAAAACCAGGGTTTGGGCAAGAGATGAATAAACCAATTGGCGGGCCAAACTTTGGTCACTCGCTGGCCGGATGTGGCTCGTGGACTGCCAGTTGAATAGCCCTGCTGTAGATATTTGTCCAGTAGTTATTGCGATATTTTGCCAAAAATGACGACAAATGTCCTCGCTGAGACATGCGATAAAATGGAAACCCACAATGAGGCGAGTCAGTTTGCAATAAAGTCTGAAAATGATCTTTGCCTTTGTTCCGAAAACACCCGGGTGGTGAGATTTACACAGATAAAAAAAGTACAGACACRTCATGAACACGATGTGCAGACGGTGGAAAATACACAAATATGCAGTAAAAAAAAAACACACTAAATTATTTCAACCATTGAACATTTTTATTCTCCACAAAATACAGTGAGTGAAAGGCCACCAGACTTAAAAACCTTTTTGTTCATCAAAACAAATACAACCTAACTCAGCTTAAAATTCTCTAAATCATTGATCTTAGAGAGAAACTTGGAGCTTTCACAGAAGTATCACAAAAAAGCTAAAACATAAAGTTGTTTAGATTGTTCCTCATTTTCAGAACTAGTACCGAGAAAACCTAAAAATAAACTGCTTTATTCTCCCAARTACTTATACTAAATAAATACAGCTCTGGTGGCTTCAGTTTTCCATTTAATGGAACAAAACAAAAAGGTATTTACAGTATAATGAAACTGATCAAGCTGAAACCAGATAACACTTCAGCTTTTGGCAATCGGACAAAATAATAATCTAGTAATTCATCTCGTTAGTAAAGTATAAATCATTTGGTCATCAAAGGCCACTTTATTGAACTAAGCTTGTAAACTGAGTAGAAAGACMAAAGTGACAATGATCAAACTATAAATAAACTATTATATTGTTTGAGTTTTATCACAAAGTCTCGAACAATAAATCAAAGAAAAAAAATAAATGAATGTCAAAACTTAACACAGGACTCTGACTTCTTGAAGCAGGTTAAACTTTTTCCTCACATTTAACTTTTTTTTAGCTTTAATTTAACAAAAATAAAACAGTCCTTACTTTAATACGTTACAATATAGTTCATTTGATTCAAGTATTGATAGGGCAGCAGGTTGGATATAGTACATTCACAATGCCAACTCATCAAAAACTGAATAAAACAGCTTSAATAATTGAGGTTTTTCACAAAATTACAGTTCTGACCATCCCTGATGCTGAAATAAATACTTTTAGGGGAACGTTGTACAAAAAAAAAACCTTCAAAATGTAAATTAAAGAAAAAAATAACAGCATAGTTGATTTATTTTCATGTCATTTCTAGAGGTTACTTGCTTATTTAACAAATGAAAAGTTAAAAAAAAATAGAAAAAAAGAGGCTCTTCTTGACCGGACCATAAAGGAGTGATAAAACAAAAACAAAACAAAACAACAACAAAAAAAAAAAAACAAGAAAAATCATACCCTTCTCAATGAGGGTGAATCAGTGGTGAATGCAAACTCCCAGAATGCAACACGTCTTGTCTTTTCTTCAGTGACGTATACGGCCTCAGGAGGCTGAGGTGTGGCGGCTCTGAGGTCACCGCTGCAATAAAACACCAGCAGGGGGAGCTCAGCTGGCCGAACATCTGTGCTGCGCCTTCAGTCGCTGTCCGAGTCCAGCTTCAGGAGGGTTTCCTGTCAGAGAAAAGCGGCGCTGAGTCCACACAGCTCACACAACGAGCCTTTCAACAGAACCGGGCAGCTCAAACTGCAAACATCTGACAGAATGACATCATAGCTGCTTTGGTCCAAACTTGTAAATGACGTTACGCAAGACCCCAAACGACAGTTACAGATATTCAAAAACAAAGGTTTTATTTAAGTTATGTTACTGGTTCCAGGTCCAATATTGGGGGGGAATAGACGTTAAAAGATTGAAACTCTGCCTATGTTTGTTTCATATGAGGCCTCATCTTTTTTTTAAACTTCCTATACAGGAAACATCTGTTAGACAAGATGAAAAGAGCAGCAATTTCATTTACAGAACAATTTTTTTTATTCGCTGCCAAGAAAGGAGGACAGTATTGTGTCTGTGTCTGTCAGTCTCTCAAAATTGAACGTACATAGTGCTAACCATAGAGTTAAATAACACTAGACTGAGCCCCCGCCCATCTTGTCAACTGTGAGCATCTGTGACAACATGGAGGAGCAAAAATGGYGACCAAGCAGGGTGTCRGCTCACAGCCGTCGTAGCAACTTCATGATGCTTGTTAGTAAAATTTCTCATGAACCAGTGGATGGGTTTAGGAAGGAATCTTATCTGCAACTGCTTAACTTTTGSAGTCAAGTGGATGTAAAATGGCTGGCTCGGCTAATTAATAGAAAATGAAAACAATGGTTATAACTCGTTCACTTTTATAGATACTAAGCAAAAAAAATTAAAGTGACAGTAGCTGAGGGAGTTTCAAAACATTCAAACAGATTCCATGATATTGCATAAAACATGTAACTGGAATTTTATAAAAAAGGTGAGAGGTGGAGATGATTTTTAATTTTTTTTAAATAGCTGATCAACACTTGAGTTTTCTCCCTGTAAACGTCACTTGCCTTGATCAGTACTGTGTCTGGATCCAGAGGTGGTTCCTGAACRATGAGCGGGTCTTGGGACTCTTTGAGGGAGAAGCTCTGGAACGTGAAATGTCTGGACGGCCGAAGCGCTTCTCTCCACCACCAGAAAGCCATTCCCACCACCAGCAGCACACTGAGGACGACTGGGGAACACATGTCAGACCTGGATTACTMTCTGCAGTCGTGGCAGAGTCAGGACGCTGATGTAAAAACTCATAAACGGGGTCGGCCCCCCTCCTCTTAGTGCAGAAACAGGACTGTAACTCCAATAACATGGAGGGGGGGAAAATCTATGTAAACACACTAAAAACAAACAAAAATATAGAAACAGTTCCTGTTCTATATAAACACCTCATCTAAAATGGTTGGTTGTTGACAGGCACACTTAATTTACAGTTTCAGTGCTAAGCTGAACTTTTCATGTGATATGATCAGTCAAAACATAAGCCGTGTTTACAACACACATCACAACACTAGCTTCCTCTAACAGTGCACTTTAAGCTACTTGTTAGAAGTAAAGCAACTTAAAAGCATTACCATAAATTACATCCATTTCAATGTTTTACGACCAATATTTGAACTGTCAGTCCCTTTGTTTAAGGATGTCAAAAACATTTGCTCTGTCCACTTCATCAACTTTCTCTTCCTTGTAGACTTGTGTTAAAGAGCGTGTGAAACCGTCCATCCTATGTGTCATGATTAAATATTATGAGAGATGTTCTTACTGATTAGAGACAAAATTCCAGCAAACGTGGCCTGGGACAGGACTGATACAGGAACTGTGCGGGAGATAACTGGAGTTTYGGTTTCTGGAGTCCTGCAGCTGAACTGAAGCCTTTTGGGCTGCAGGTCGACGACACACTTGTGCTGGCACGTCCTCTTGGGATGTCCGCAGGCAGACGGAGCTTTAAGAGGTGAGGTTGAGGGAAGATCGTTAATGGAGGTGCTACTGACCTGCAAACAGCACAGGTGTCATATCTGACATAGGGCTGGGCAATGTGGCTGAACAATTTAGCATGATATCAGTCTATGTCGATATATATTGTATTTGAAATAAGGACCGGGACAAAAAAGGCTGATTAATGCTGCCAAACTGGTGATGCGACTTTTCCTCTCTTATCCACAATTTCCTCTCAGGCTGTTGCACTCATTTCCTCCTGTCACTCCATGTCCTTCATTATTTTTAAGCAGCTATGACGCACGGTGGCGAAACATGAAACTGCGCATTAGAGACGTGACGTTCGTGAATGCTCTGAATCTTCTGAACAGCTGCTTTGCTTTTTCACAGCAATGAGGCAGAGCAGTGGAGTACAGCGGCTCAGGAGGAAAAGCGGGAGGGGCATTCTGCTTGGCGAGTACAAAACACATGGTTCTGTCCACATGACGATGTAATCATGCACGGAGAACGTGATGACATATATCCCYGTGTAATGTCGTAAATTGTCCAGTATCGAACGGCACTTTTGAACATGTTGCTAGCTAACCAAAAAAGCAGTGGTGGGCACCGCTAACCAAAATATTAGCTAACAGAGATGCGACATTCACGTATGATCCCAATCTTTTGATAATGATAAATGATAATGTTTATTCAATCATTTCATTAAAACATAAATTCAATATAATTAAAATACAAATCATAAATAAATGAAAGGCAGCAGAAGAAGACAAAATCTTATGCTACGTTCACACCGAATGCGTTTTGAGCAGCCAAAAAGCGCAAAACGTCTCTCGTTGGACACACTATTTTCAGACCGAAGAACGCAGTAGTGTTCAGACCAGAACAAGTAGCGGCAGCAGCGAGGTGTGGGAGGAGCGTGTCCTCGGCAGGTGAAATAAAGATAACAAAAGAAAATGGCTTTGATTTATTTATTAAAAAGCAAGCGAACGTTGCGCACAGCAGAAAAAACTCACCAGATG